GAGTTTGTGTAGTTAGTAGGGCTTCTTTCAGCTTTATTGCATTATGGTCTGATAGGATGCATAGAATTGGTTCAGGTTTTTGTATTTGTTGATGTTTGTTTTGTGACCTAGTACGTGGTCAATTTTAGAGACAGTTCCATTGGGTGCTGAATAGAAAATATATTCTTTGTTGCTTGGGTGGAACATTAGGTTCGTTTGATATATGGTGTCATTTAATTCAGATGTCTCTTTAGTCTTTGTCTAGTTGACTTGTCTAATGGAGACAGTGGGGTATTGAAGTCCCCTTCTATTATTGAGTTGGGGTTAATCTGTATTTTAAAATCCTGTAGTACTGTTTTTATGAAATTGGTTGCACCAGAGTTTGGTGCATATATGTTCATGATTGTAATATCTTCTTGGTTAGTTTTTCCTTTGATTAAAAATGATGTGACCCTCTTTATCTGATTAGTTTGAAGTCTGTTTTGTCATATATTAGAATTACAACCCTTGCTTGTTTCTTAGTATCATTCGAGTGGGACATTCTTTCCATCCTTTCACTTTAAGGTAGCGCCTGTCCTTGAAGGTGAGATGAGTTTCTTGAAGACAACAAAAGGATGGATTTTGTTTCTTAATCCATTCAACTAGCCTGTATCTTTTAACTGGGGAGTTCAGTACATTGATATTTAAAGTTATTATTGAAAGATGTGCATTACTTGCCATCATTTTAATTTCTCTTTGCATTCTTCATCTAATTTTGGGTTTCCACAATCATACCTTCATTTAGTTTCTATCTGTTGCCCTTTGGGTGTAGTTCCTTTTTCCATTCTTTGTATTGCTTCAGGTATTCTTTGAAGGGCTGGTTTTGTGGACATTCTTACAGCCTATTCATGTTGTGGACAATTTTTCTTTCCCTGACAACTAGAGTAGACACTTTTGCTGGGTAAAGTATTTTGGGTTGGCATCTATGGTCATTTAGAACTGGGACTACTTTGGTCTAGGCTCTTCTGGATTTCATAGTTTGCATTGATAAGTCAGCTGTAATTCTATCAGAATTTCCTTTATATGTGCCTGTTTTTCTTTTGCAGCTTCAGTATTCTTTGTTCTGTACATTTAGTGTTTTAACTATGATATGCCATGGGGAGTTTTTTTTTTTTTCTGGTCCTGTATATTTGGTGTTCCATGTGCTTCTTGTATTTGTATGGGCATGTCTTTCCTTCATTTTGGGAAAATTTCTTCTACAATCCTGTTTAAGATCCGATCAATACCATTAACCTGAAATTCTTCTTCCTCTATGAATTTGACATGTAGGTTTGGTCTTTTCATGGTGTCCCACATTTCCTGCATATTTCATTTCTGTGTTTTAAAATTTTTTTCATAATCTTTGCTTGAACAGTCCAATTCTTCAAATTTATCGTCTGGTCTTGATATTCTGTTTTGCATTTCATTCATTCTATCGTGAGGCTTCCTCCTGTTGTTTCAAATTGGCTTATTGAGTTTTTCACTTCTTTCTTCATTTCAGCCTGTGTTTTCTTCAGTATTTCTATCTCTTGTGAATTCAGTCAGAAGTTTATCCCTATGCTCTTTTATTTTTTGGTTTTTTTGTTCTTTAAATTTGTTGAATTCTTTGATTGTGTTTTTTTTTAAAAATAGTGGCAACTCATATTTATTAGAATTATGCACAATCATATCTTATATTCTGAAATCTATACATGATCACATAAATGAACAGGTGTTTCTTGGTGGGAAGGACAGATGTGGCTGTTGGTCAGGCTGTTGGCCTTCCTTCCACCATGGGAGGAAGAAACAAGTCTCACCACAGGGTTAGCTGGGCCATAACACAGCAAGCGAGAGGTTGCATGTGATTAGAGGACAAGACCAATGGGGCTGGCTGGGGACAGGTGCCCAAGGTTAGGATCTATCAGGCAGGACCTGGCTGTAGGGAGACTGGGTCCTGGCAGGCTCATGGGACAAATAGGTCCAGGACTCTGGCTTTTAGCACAGGATGAAGAAGGAGCCACAGGCAAGACCCAGGGGACAGTGCAGGGCAGAAGGACCCCTCACACTGAGACAACAGGAGACAGGAGATATGAGCTCTGGCCATGTATGGTGTCACATTAGTCAAGACACTTGGTGAACACACCTATACAAGACACCTCTCCAGGAGTGGCCAAGCAGGGGCTTGAGTACAGAGCTCCTGCATCCTCAACCAGGCTAGCAAACAGCCAGGGCCACCCAGGCTTGGACTGAGCTGAGATGGCAGTATAGCTGGGGTTATGGTGCTCAGGAGGCTGGTGAACAGAAACGCAACCCCACACTGCTGCATCCCAGGGAAACCCTGCCCCAACACAGGTCCCTGCCACCCTCCTGAAGGTAGAGTCACAGCTCATGCCCACCTGCCAACCAAGTTGCACCACAACTTTTCTACCTGCTCAGTGACCTACATGTCCCCACACCCATGGTCCTCCCTCTGTACCCCCAGGATGTCCTCCTCATCTACATGGTTCACATTATCATCCTCCTTGTCCTCCCTCTTCTTTTCCTCACAGTGCACCTCTATCCTCAGCTGGCCCTGGCCATCTACCACTCCCTCCCCCTTGTCCTGGGGGCCCAGAAGGTGGTGGGTGGCTTTGAGGCCCTTGGTGCTGTGGCTTTCTGTCCCAGGAAAGGATGACTGGATTAGTTGCTGAAGCCCAGATGTAACTGCTACTGTGGTGGTTCACAGCTGCAGGGCTTGAGGGTGATGGAGACTTAACAGGGATCTGCTATGAGGGGATCTTTGGGGCTGTCGGGGAGGGTGGGAACTGCCTCTGATTCAAAAGAAGTCCTTTCAAGGAGTTGATTTCCAACTTGAGTTCATTGATGTTCTAGGACTCCAGAATCCATTTGGTAGATATGGTGGCCTTGGTGGCAGCCAGCTTATAAATCAGTGCCTGGACCTTCTGCTGCTGCTGCACTTGAACAGAGGCCAGCATCGTCTGTACCTGAGTCACTGCCTGGGCCACACTGCCACTCAGCTGAGAGACTTGCCACCATCCTTTCCAGATGCTTCCTGTCCTTTCAGCCTCCCAGGATGAGACGCAGCAGGTACTTCTTGTAGACCTGGTGAAAGCCAAATATAATTCCTGCCATGATGATAGCCAAGGCACTGTAATCTCATGATCAGGGAACCTCCAGATCTGTATGACTGTGAAATGAGGTGAGGGGGCTTGGACAGGAACCACCTGGGTGGCTGAGCCCAAGGATGAAAGCTCATCAGAAGCAGTGCCTGACTGCTGGAAAGCCAGGTCAATCTCTATCTGTCAGCCCTTTCTTCTTAAGAAATGCTGTCCTGGTTGTAAATGGGCTCTGCCAGCACCACATTTTCACTTCTTGAAGAAGAGCTTGGCTGACTCAGATGCTCAGACTGCTCGGAGGACACCATCTTTCTCGGGCCTGACTAATCAACTGGGCCAAATTCCTGACCATGTTTATGACTGTTCTTTTAAATTCTGTGTTCTGGGTTATCTCTAGGGACTTCTTGTAGCACTCTTCTAAAGGACTGGTGGTGTTTGGTAGGAACATATTACTTTGATGTTATTTTTCTGTTGTGATTTTTAGCATGTGAATTTCTTTTGCTGTTTGTGATTCTGGTATGAAATGAAAGTCTTCCTTTGTTGAGTTGAAGTCTACTTCTATTTATATTATTGGTGTGCCTTGGTTGTTTTCTTATTGGGTATGTAAAGCTGGTTGGTCTAGGTTTTAGGTTCTCTCTTTTGATTTTATATTGGAGGGACAAGATGGCTTCAGTTCAGCTACTCAGGAGCTTCCACAGAGTCCCAAGTCAGTCACCAGTCAGGTGCTCTCAGGCTTCCTCCTAAGGTCTGGACCTCTACTAGCAAGCAGTCATAGCACAGTTTGGGAAGCTTGTTAAGAGGACACCTGATTTAGGTGTGCTCAGGCAGACTGCAAAAGTCTGGGCCTCTCTAAAGGGCAGAAAATCCTATACCTGGGGTGTTTGGATGGACTGCAGGTGGTCCCATTGTAGGGGGATAGGCACTGCGCCATTTGGAAAAGCTCACCACTACATCGAGGCTGGATCCAGGCACTCAGGCAGTTTGCAAAGGTCTGGGAGCCAAATGAAGACAAAGAAGCCTATCCCTGAACAGTGGGAAGGGCCACACATGATCACAATGTAGGGGGTGGGGCAAGGCATGATTTGGGGAAGTTCATCACCACAGGGAGACTGGATCCAGGCACTCTCAGGCAACCTGCAAAGGTCTGGGCCCCTACTGAAGGGCATAGAAGCCTAGCACTGGAGCAGTGGGAGGGGCCACATGTGGTCCCAATGTAGGGGTTTGGGCACGATGCAATTTAGAGAAGCTGGGGGTGTAGGGATCTAGTCATTGTCAGGCAGTCAGCCTCTTATAGTCATTTTAAGCTGTTCATCTCTTCTAGACCCACCAAAAAAAAAAAAAAAAAAAAGAAGTATAGAAATGCAAAGGACAAACAAGCAACCAAATTAATTAATTTTATTCACATTACCCATAAAAAGCAATTAATTTTACATAAAATCATTAAGACAGAAATCTTAAGAGTAATATATGTTATTAGAAATGAAATACAGTAAATATATGTGAAAATTAAGAATAGCATACTTCTGTGATTACATTTATTTTAGATTTTCTACTCATAGCAGCATCTGTAAGATTCTCCTATTTGTTTGTAGTTAACTAGCAGCGAATTTTTTAAAATTACACAAACGCAGTAGATATTTCCATCCAAAGTTTCATTCATATAAATTTTATCACATTAACCAAATAACATCACTTCTATCTTCTAAAGAAAAAGGGGGGGAATGTCTTCATTGGTCACCCTCTCTCTCAACAGAGAAGAAATAGTAAGAATGCTCTAAAAAAAGTATATGATTATAAAAAATTAATTTGTACTATCCTGATGAACTATGGGTAGATTGTGTGTGTGTCGGGGTAGGGGGATAATGCCATATAAACTTCATTTTTTGACTCTGCACTGCAGTTGAAAAGATGTGGACATTTCCAGGAGGCCTTTCAGAGCCTGGAGAAGATACTGGTATATAATCATATATTTCTAATAAGCATGAAAATATGCAAAAAAATCACATTAACTTTCTTGCTTTATAGCTAAGAATAAGAATTTAAATTTTCCAATTATTTCAGACCAAGTCAGAAAGGCTCAGGCAGAGTACTTCAGGTCTGATATAAAATTAGCAGCAAATTTTCTAAGGTAATTCATTCCATTCATGTGATTAACTACCTCAATTAACTACCTCTCCTTTTTAGGACTGCTCTGAGATTATTTGAAAAGGAACAACTTCAGGTATTCATCATTATTAAAGATTGTTTCAAATATGACTAAAATTGTATTTTTAAGTTCTTGATCATTCTGTCACAGAAGGGTAAATAATAAATTTTTCTTTTTCAGACAAGGTCTCACATGTAGCCCTGGCTTTTGGGGAACTTTCTATGTAGACCAGGCTGGCCTTGAACTGATAGAGATTTTTTTAAGTGTTACACAGATCAAAATGTCCAATACACATTTATATGGCCAACTTCTAACAATCCATGAGTAAATTAATGACATTCAGATATGTAAAACAAATCTGACCTTTTTGCTGAGATTAGGGTAGGCAGTCTGGGGCCACAAGTGTGGTAGCATATGCCTTTTAATCACAGCCCTAGGAAGGCTGATGCAAAAGAATCACAAGTTTCAGGCCATCCTGGGTTACTTTGACAATGTCTTCAAAAAAGTATTTTGTAGGAATGCGAGTGCTGAAAGCGAAGGCATTTAGTCATGAGGCCACCTTATTCTTAATTATCTCACTTTACCCACCTGACATTAAGAGAGGGTGAGCTTGGTAAGTTCCAGTCTGGCCTTCTCACCCTCCACGCAGGAAAAGCCATCTGCACAAGGTGTACAGTTTCCTTCCTGAGCCAGGCCTTCTCAAATGATTATTTAGCTTTTGAATTTCAGACAGGCTTAGATATCAAGAAAAATAACACATTTCCAAGCTAAATCTGTATAAGTTTAGGTTAAGTATAACTCCAAATCTTTGTTTAAGCCTAGATAATTAAAAATATGCTTTTAAAAAGTATTTATGGTTATCAAAATAACTTACATATCTGAACTAAGAATAAAAGCATCAGTTGGCATCCACTATATTTCAGTGGTGTGATATCAATTAAAGATAAGCCTTAGAAATTCAAAAAAACCCTAAAAGCTAAAAATGATAACTGACAACATAGTTCAAAATAATAATCTCAATGATGAAGCCAGCTCTTCTAGAATATATGGAAGTTATTATGCTGTTTAAACCCTGTTTAGGAACGTTGCCATCACGAACATGTCAGCATTTATACGGGCCATTATTAAATCCCAGTAAATATACCCTAGTTAACCTGGAAACTTGTTTGTTTGAAAATCTTTCATTCTTTGATAATGCTAAGTAAGTCAAACATTAGTATGCAAGGTGTTTTTAAGAAATTAAACAGAGTGCATGCAAAACAGACCGGGGTCCTCAATGTTTGGGTCTAAAGGTATCTGTAAGGTTCAAAGGCACACAATGCCTTTCTAAAATATGTCATCACCACAGCTGAAAACCATCTCCTGCTGCAGCTAAAGGACTCTGAGCCTCAAATCCCACTAGAGATGTTCAGCTGGCTCAGAGGGTACTCCAGGATACCCATGTGCTAAAAGTCCCTTGTCACTTTTTTTCTACCTCAAACCAGTATTTTTATTACATATTACAAAACAGAAATGACACATGTAAATGTCATTATTTTCCTGCCATTAAGCAAATCAATCTGACATATTTAAGCAAAATAAAAAACAAAAACATCTATATTCTTCCCATCTATACAGTGGATGTTATTTCGGTTGTACCTAAAGTCTTAAAATAATGTTATAGGGACAACAGAGTAAATGACTTTATCTTGATAACTTTAAGTTCATATTGAAATTGAGGGAGAGGTTTCCATTCTGAGGTAAAAGAGGAAGATGTCTCACATCCCAGATGCGAATGCACTGGTTTGCCTTTTAAGGTTTGAGCTGGTCAGTGATGTGCTGATTCAAGTTATACTAACTCACACTACTCAGGCAACAATTACTCTCTTAGTGCCATGGTGACAGTGAGTGCTGGACACTTGCTTGCCCTGTCCGATGCCTCTGTTTACTTACAGACATCCTGGGTTTTGATTAATAGTGCCAAGAATCCCCAGGATTCCCGAGGTTATTTTCAGGGCATTTAAAGAATAAAAATATATATTTAAACACGAGTTGGAGGCCACTATATAAATAGTGCCACAATCTTTCCTAATAAATTTAGTGAGATTGTATGCCAGACTAAAAATTTTTTCTTACCAGAGAAAGTTTCTCAACCTAGATTCCTATTGATGCATTCATTCCTGCCCTCTTGTTTTGTGGTGCTCTTAACTAAACCCAGGGCCTGTGCTCACCGAGAGATAATCATTTTATAGCTGAGCTGTTCTCCTAGTCTTGGTGCTTTCAGTTTTTTTAAAACGTAATTTTGGGGACCAAGTATGGTGGCACATGCCTGTATTTCCAGCACTCTGGAGGCAGAGGCAGGTGGATCTCTATGAGTGCAAAGCCAGCCTGGTCTACACAGTGAGTTCCAGGACAGCTGGGGCTACAGGGAAGACCCTGTCTCAAAAACACCAAAAAAAAAAAAAAAAAAAAGTGATTTTTGGTCATGCTTTACCTGTGGGCAAACCTCAGCCCCTGTGTTTTGGAATGCAGCACTCTTCCTATAAGCCTTTCAAAAACCATTTCTTGGCCAGGCGTGGTGGCACAATTATGCCTGTAATTCCAGCACTCCGGAAGCAGACAGGCGGATCTCTGTGAGTTTGAGGCCAGCCTGGTCTACATAGCAAGTTCCAGGTCAGTTGGGGCTACAGGGAGACCCTGTCTCAAAAAGACCAAACAACAACAACAACAACAACAAACCCAACAAAAAAAAAATTTCTTAGCAAGAACATGTCTTGGGGGCTGGTATGTGTCCCGTGGACTGGGAAGATGGTCTACGGTGCAGGGACACAGAGACTGAAGCACTTCTATCTAGTTTTCTTCCTTGACTATGCTTTGCCAGTAGGACTGCTGACCAGGTAAATTTATATACTATTTGACTTCCAGAGAGGCATTCAAAGGTATTTAAACAATCTCTACAACAACCATGAAGCTTCTCAGAAAAGTGGTCAAGAAAGTGAGCTACAATGTATCACAAAGTTTGGTGAAATCCATTTACTCAGTCTTCTTGGGTGTACAGAAAAACTGGACACAAAAGAATGTTGATGGCAATAAAGTTTTTGCCATGGAAATTAATACAAATTGAAAAGACTAATAAAACATGAAAACCCTTGTTTATTATAAAATTCTATATATTTCCAGCAGAAAATGTTTGATGAAACAGCTACTGCATTTTGGTAACTGAAGGAATGAATTCCCAGTTCTTTGGAATCCAGTATCTAGACACAAAAGCAGAGCCAAAATCAAGCAGGATTCACTGGCAACTAGGGCGGTGCCTATAGTGCTGAAGCACCTGCCTGGTGGCTGTGGGGTCTTGAGAGCCCAGAGGGCTAAGTCATTTCAAATCTCTCAAGCATGTTCAGCAAGCCCTACAGATTTCCCTGAGGAAGGACAGGAACTTTCAACTCTGCTGCCTACAACTTCAGGCAGTTTTCAAGGCTATTCTGGGGTAGGGCAATAGTGAAGGATATGTCAGAATATTAACTGCATCTTTGTTTGCAAATATGTTACTATCTTTTGGAAAGAGAAAACAGGGGTTTAAAAAACGGGGCTCCAAAAAATGGGGCTCCAAAAATGTCCAAGTGGACAGGTCTCCAGAGACACTTGATGTTTCAACAACATTTTAAATATAAAGTGTATTTCATAACATCCAGAAAGCAGATAGTCTGAAAACAGTTTTTGTTTTTGTGGTCTTTTTTGAGACAGAGTCTCCCTGTAGCCCCAGCTAGCCTTGACTTTCTATGTAGACCAGGTTGGCCTCCATCTCACAGAGGTTTGTCTGCCTCTGCCTCCCAAGTGGTAGGATTAAAGGCAGGCACCACCACACCCAGCTCAGTTTTATTTTTGAACTTACAGACCTTTGATCAAAACATCTCTAAGAATGAAATTGTTATGTTTCTCTCTTTCATACAGGAGACACAGCAGTCCGAGAAGTTTTTGAAGAGACTGGTGTAAAGTCAGAATTCAGGTCCGTGCTGAGCATCTGACAGCAGCACCGCAGTCCTGGAGCCTTTGGGAAGTCAAACATGTACGTGGTCTGCTGCCTTCAACCCTGTTCCTTCACCACAACTTCTGTCAGCAGGAATGCTTGGGGTGCGAGTGGATAGAGCTCAGCCACCTAGTCAGGACTGAAAATATGACCCCTATCACCAGCAGGGTGGCTAGGCTGCTGCTGTATGGGTACAGAGAAGGGTTTGACAAGATTGATCTCACCATGGAGGAACGCCTCACTGTGTACACAGGCCTGTTTTACAAGCTCTATCACAAGGAGCTGCCTGAGACATACAAAGCCATGACAGGAATGGATAAACTCAAGTGCTTTAAAGTAAACTGCAGGTACAGATTAGTGTAAGACCTGATGTTAATTTTCTGATGTATATCTTCTCCATGATGAAAATTATAAAAGCTTCATATTTTTAAATCCTCTTCAAATAAAGTAAATAAATGACAAAGACTATAGCTCGAATCTTCACCAGGTCAGAACAGAAGCTGTATGAAAGGAGAAAGTCTATATATTTCAAAAAATCGTTGTTCTTTTGCTCTTTTTCTTTACTGAGGTAATGGGTAAGGATCTTCTATTACACACAAAGTTACCTGAACAGGTATACAAACTAAGTTGTACATATTGCTTTCTCTCATTAACAATTTCCAACTTATGCTTCTTTCATGTGAAATGAGATTTGGTGCTGCCATTACAGTCAGCTCTTAGCAGACATTGGAAGAAACAGTATAGCCTTCTGCCCAGGTCCTGTTTTGGATCCAAGTTTATACTGCCCAGTTCGTTTCAGTGCCACATACCAACTAGAGTATTTCCTTGACCGGTAAGTATTGTAGTTATTAGATTCCAATCGTTCAAAAAAGAAACACTCTTCTGTAACACATTTCTGAAAAATAAAGGAAAATTTGTTTTATGCTTTTCATATAAAATTTTGGTGAGAGCACAATACATTCTGCTTAACCTGCAGCAGTGGTCTTGCATAAGATAATCAAATGAATGAGAAAGGTAGATCAAATGTGACAGCTCTGGGAAGGATGGAGGCAGGAACCCAGAGTCGGCATAAGAGCAGCAGTGTTGTCATAGCCCAGGGGCCATTCCAGCCCCATGATAAGCAGACATGGTGTTAGACAGCAACATCACATGAAGACACAGGGACCACACTAGCTCAGAGTTGAAACATCACAGCCTAAATGTTCAGGAATCTGCAGCAGAGGGCCACATGCTGTAGCAAGAGCTCACCAAGGGAAGCCCAGAGCATGGCTGCCTGCAGGTATATCTGGTTAGTGCATACCGGGTCTCATTCCTGAGGCAGCTTACCAGTCAGTGTTTTCACTTTCACATTTCATGGGGTGCAGTAAAGCAAAATGGTAAGACAGACTTCCCATGAAGAAGGAAGTTTATTAATATTCTTCTCATAGGGAGAGAATAAATTCCCTAAGGTTGCAAAATTCCCTAAGAACTGAAGTTGCTTCTAACACATAGCAAAGACTGTTGTGTAGAAAGCAGCTAATGTTACATGATGCCAAAAATACTCTGAAACAGTGTATGACATGAAACTAACAATCTCCAAATGCCAACAGTAGTGAGGATTAAGTAATCTGGAACATACTGGATTCTGAGAAATTAGCAATCCAGAACATACCACTTTCTGAGGAATAAGTAATCCAGAGAACACTGGTTTCTGCAATTCTCCTTTTAAGCAGGAGGAAAAGACCCTGCCTTTTAATTTCTATTCACTGGTATCAGAAAAGAGAAGACCTTCCAAGCAGCTGGGCCCGAAAATAAAATTCTAAGTAATAGAGTCTAAAAGTCTACCATGTTATTTAGGGAAATGTTCAACAATCAGTTTCACAGGCTGACCCTGGGGGTGGGGAATTAACTATCCAAGAAAAAGGGGGAAATCATTGCTGCTTAATAAATATACACAGGTCAACTGAATGGTACTTATGTAGAAAGTTATATACATGCCATGTAAAATTTCTTCATACATATAAATTCAAGATGTATAGGTATAGAAATATATGGTTTTGTATTAATATTATTGCTAGATTCCAGTTTATTTGCATATATTCATAGGAAACCAGATCTAAAATACCTACATTAAAAAGAAATGAACTGGGGCTAGAGAGATGGCTCAGTGGTTAAAAACACTGGCTGTCCTTGCAGAAGACCCAGGTTTGAATCCCAGCACCCATATGGCAACTAACAGCTGTCCGTAACTCCAGTCCCAGGGGGTCTGATGGCCTCTTCTGTCCTCTGTGGGCATTGCATGACATGGATGCACTTACCTACATGCAGGCGATACACTCACACACATAAAATAAAAATAATAAATATTTTTTTTTAAAAAAAGACATGAACCAGGGGCTTTAGAGATGGTTCAATGGTTAGGAACACTGGCTGCTCTTGCACAGGACCCAGGTTTAGTTCCCAGCACCCATACAGCAGCTGCCTACCATCTGTAACTCCAGTTCTAGGGGATCCAACACCTTCTGGCCTTTGCAGACATTGCATGCATGCACATGGTATACTTATATTCACGCAGGCAAAACACTCAAAATAAAAATAAACAAATTGAAAAAATTTATATAAAGACATGAACCAGCAGGGCATGATGGTGAACACCTTCGATTCCAGCACTAAAGAGACAGGGGCAGGTAGATCTCTGAGTTCTAGGCCATGCTGGTCTCCAGGGCTATATAGTGAGACATTGTCTCAAAAAAAAAAAAAAAAAAAAAAAGGAGACCGGCTTGACACTTTGCCCAGATTTTTGGGTTCCAACATAAGGCAAACAATGTTCCACACTCTGAGAAAAGACAAATGACACAGGACTCAGAAAGGCCTGTGAATAACTGTGAGTCATATTAGATCCCGTAAACCTGGCATCTAATATCTCTCTAGAGAACAGTATCTTACTAGATTAACAAGGTGAGTGAAGACACACCCTGTGACCTACCTCTATAGAGAAGAATTTTAGAAGGTTATTTAGTTGGCAGATGGTCATTTGATTTTTTTTTAACATTACTTTATGTGTGTGTATGTATATGAATGTGGATATTCATATTCCAAAGGGTGCCTGTAGAGGTCAGAGGACAACTTGCAGGACTCAGGCCTCTATACTATGTGGCAAGATCCTTTACCCACTGAGCCATCTCCCAGGCCCTGCTTACTGGATTCTGGATTTTTGAAAAGTGAATTACAGCCTTAACTTGTCAATTGTGAAACATATTATTAATGATGCAGATATAGCCCAGGAACCTTACATGGAAGTATGTATTACTCAAGGACCAGCTAGGATACAGGGTAATGCCTCTGTTCAAGAGTCAGATTTTGAGAGATCTACTAATCTGTGGATATAACAATAAATCATTATGAGTCAATTTAATACTGTGTCTACTTAGTAGAGAGACAGTTGTAGGATTCCCCCCTATGGCCTGTGACCTGTTTGGACATAGGTTCTTGACCTGATAACATTATCAGGTATGTTCTCCAGCTTGTGAAGCAGGCCTTAAATCCAGGTATACGGATGGTTGTTACTACCATAACGTCCATGCCACTATTGCACCAGTGGGTATCTTTTGCCAAGTCACCTAGACCCACACCCAAGAGCATTTAGGAAATACAGATTAGACTCAATAGGCCTTTGTTGTTATTATTACTATTTTTTAAATATAGGGCTTCACTAGGTAACCCTGGGTAGTCTGGAAATTGCTATATACTTCAGGCTGGCCTGGAACTCACAGAGATCTGCCTTCCTCTGCCTCTCAAGTGTTGGGATTAAAGACATGTGCCACCATGCCCAGCCTGATGGCCATCTCACTTGCAAGCTCACTTTCTGGGTTCTGTCAGTTCCCCGGATACCTCACTTTACCTGCCAACATGCCTGCAACGCTTGGCTTACTGGAGCATTTACCACACCAGGAGCAATGACTGCCTTTTCAGCAGTTCCTAATATTTCAGAGAAAGGAAATACACCAGGGACTATGTATATCACACAGCCCTAAAACAAGTCTTTATTATAGCACCACTCATACACTGGGAAGGGAAACTTACATTCATGCTGAATATCCAGCCACCTAAGTTTAAAACCAGCCATATAGTACTCAGCAACAGGTGTGGTTTTGTTTTTAGTATGTAACAGAGCCAACATTTAGTTCTCAAGAAAATCAGAATTAACAGTCAAATATGATTTTTAGTTCTCTCCATTCTAAGTTTGCATGCTATCTTCAGTGATTGTGGTCTCAGTAACCCTACAAAAACTGGTATGGTATGGCTTTTATTAACCTTTTGAATACACATACAGAATTCTTTTTCTAGGCTCAGTGTTTGCTCACCATTTCAAACTTAGGAGCAAAGGGATCTTTGGAGGAGCAGCATCATACAGAGAGTGACAAAGGCTGGGAGGGCTTATACCAGTGTGTGCCTTGCTTTCTTAGCCTGATTTTGTACAGGGTAAGAGCAGGGAACACTTCAGTGAGGGTGACTGCTCTCTCTCTCATCATTTCACTTAAAAATCAGCCATCGAGGAAGATGATTTCATTAAACACTGTAGTAAATGAAGGAAAATTTTAAATTCTAGTGCTGTTCTGCAACTTATTTCAGATTATGGACACCCTTTGCCTATTAGCACCTGTTCATCAAATTAGAATTTCCTTCATTTTGTTGATTTTTAAACTTCTGAAGAATAATTTTGGGATGCAAGAATCACAGGATTCAAACAATGCATTTGTTTGTTCTACATGAACATTTTCTTTCTAGGGCACCTCTGACACATCATTACAGGCAGGAAAGACACAGTAATGCATGTATCTGCCTGGAGTACATCCTGTTAGAACAGAAATCCCCAGCCAGGTGTGAGGGTGCACGCCTTTAATCCCAGCACTCAGGAGGCAGATGCAGGTGGATCTCTGTGAGTTTGAGGCCAGCCTGGTCTACATAGCAAGTTCTAGGTCAGCTGGGGCTTATAGGAGACCCCAACTCAAAAAGACAAAAAAAAAGTAGAAATCTGGGGGAAAAGTGAAGTGTGAGGCTGAGGGTGGAATGAGGCTGAGAATAGCAGGACAGAGTTTAGGTTGTCACATTAAGTAACATAATCACAGCAGGACTGTTAGGAAAGTGACATTTGAGAAAATACTTGCAAGAGATGACGAAATTAGCCAGCTAGCTGTCAGTGACAAGTGTGGAGGAAGAAGGGCCAGCTAGGGCAAAAGCCGCAAGTCAGGACCATACCTAGTGCATTTGTGCGGGGGACAAACCAGGCCAGTATGGATGAAGCAGAGGCTTTGGGGAAAGAGTAATGAGATCAGACAGGGGTGAGAGAAGGAAACACATTCCCTACAAATTTGTACACTGTTGTAAATATTTGGGCTCCAACCCTAAGTGACACATCTACAATGCAACCTCTACACCTAAGGTTCACAGAATATGTAGAACAAGGGGTAGAGAGAATACTAATTCATGTCTTAACTCTCTCCAAGGAAGCTCCCTCATGCAACAGAGGGCAACGAACACAAAAGTACACAAATGGCCAAAGCATATGGAATAAGAGTCTGTGGAGTGTGAGTCCTTGGACAGGACTCCTACATTAAACTCCACCCACCCAGGGCTCAGGGACAATTGCAGAAGAAGGGGAAGAAAGATTGGAAAGCTTGTAAGAATTGGGAAGGAGGTGTATGACCATATATAAGTCCTACAGGTTCCTGGGACCTTACTTATAGAAACCTATGGCAATGGTGTGAGCATGCACAAGACCCATGCAAACTCAAGCAGACAAAAAAACAGCATAGAACTGTGGAAATGGACATGAGGCTTCAATCTTAGCCAAAGAACTATTGGCAGCTGATTGCTGCTGGGTGAAGAAGAGCCAATCTTCTTAAAGGGAGGGAG